CCCACATTCTTACATGAACCTTATGGAAAACTGCTGCCTTTAGTGATAGTGAGATGGTAAGGAGTGTTAATCTGACAGCATTAAAGTCGGTATTGGTGAAAGATGACAACAGGCATGGCATGGCACTGTTATATGGACTATGTGGCTGTTTGTGGCATGCTTTGTTCTTTGGGCCTGGGGACTACACATTTTTAACAAAGGGTAGGAGTCCCCACGCAGGGAGGCTCTCAAAAAGATACTATTAGTTGCATAATGAGAAATGAAGGATCCAGTGTTTTTGAAGATTGACAGTAGTGGATTGTAACTCAAGTAGAGTACTGGACTGAGTACAAAATTGAGGATTGAACAAAACAGTTGCATATGTTCAGATAAATATCCCTCCTCAGGGACTAGAAAAGTGACTTTGTCATGTAAAATCAGCGGAGTGCCCCTTTAAGTCTCCCATCAGTCTCATGTTTCCTTTTATTGTGTTTCAGATGGGTCAACGCCATAGAGGAGGCTACTGTTTTATAGCACCTACTCAGTTCAATGAACACGCCTTGCTGTCCGTGACTGCTAGAACTCCTCTGTGGAGCACAACATAGCTACCTGCTGCATCTGAACTCACACCATCAGTAAGGATTCATCACGTCCGATCTGTTGTGGAATATCATGTGACAATTTAGTCACATGGGGGGATCTTACACAACGTGGGGAGTCACAGGGGTTCTACTATGTGGAAAGGAGAAGCAGAAACCTCTTGTTGGAGTGTATGAAAACTTGTAAGGGTCCCAATACGCCGATCCAGCCGTGTTCACTGGAGCCTGTCCCTTTAAGGAGTCTAAATCTAAATCTAAAACAACATTTTATTCCCTCTGTTACACCTTTTTACAAGGACCATCCCACAAAAGATTCTTCTCCAACTCAACTTCTTTGTGGTATTTTATTTGTTTTTTTTTAACCTGAGGTTCCACTGGATTATTAAACCACCCTTCATTTTTATACATGAGGCAGTTACAGCCTGGGTTCTGTGATGGTTGTAAAAAAGAATATCAAAAACAAACTTTGCTCCATAGTCGTATTTGCAGCTAGTAAAAGGGAAAATATTGGTCAAGATATTTGGTAATCTGAATATATATTGTGAAGTATACACTGCAGATATTGAATTATATGATTTGTTTGTATAAAAATGGTGTAACATGATGTTCTGAGTAAGAGGTCATTTTAATCATCATGGTGTGTGTACATTATGCTTCTTGTGGAGTGTTTCTCTTGTATTGAATCTACAAAGCTATGGAATGACTCTCAGCATGACAACCACTCAATACATTTCTATAATGAAGAATACGTTCAAAGACACTTTGTACTTTAATCTGTAGGTTTTGATACATTTGCCACACAGTTCTGAAGTGCCAACTAATTTCTTCCAGTTGAATGCAGTGCAATTCCCAATTGATGATGAATGTGCCTGAAATGAAATTGTACTTCTTGTTTGTCTTTATGTTATCGCAGTACTGTACTACTGTCAGGTCTCCAGAAGAGACCTTGATAACATGCTTTTTATCTACTCTTATATACTTTAATCGTCCAGTATTTTGAACAGTTCAGTTACAGTCCAGTAACATAAGAATATACTATTGTGCCACATTTATTAATGCATTTTCCATGCTGTATATACACTGCTGGACTTCTGAAAAAAAGCCATTGTCATACTACCTATGAAATCAGTGTTGGATTCATCTGAGCCACTTGTGCAGTAGGGAGGACACTGGAGTTTCACTCTTCTCTACTCTCCTAACATAATCAGACATACATAGTTTCTCTTCAGTAACCTACTAAAGGCTTTATCTGCTCCATTCAAAACGCAGCTGTACTACATGTGATCCTTCACCCTGTCAAATCACATTATTTCTAAAGCACACATTTGTTCATCAAGTACCGTTTAGCTTTTCTACCTGTTTCCTATGTGCCATACCTATAGTGTTATTATAGATTGTACCTCTTGCATATTGTGCATTGTAAATGTTTATGTATATAGATACATATAAGAATAAACTACTCTAAAAAGTTTACTTAATGTGCTTTCACAATGCAGTGATGGGCTGCCTGTTCATACACATACATCTATTTCTTTCATTATACAAATAGAGTAGTCAATGCTACTATATTTGTAAAAAAAAAAAAACAATGTTCCTTTTCTGATAAAAAATATTTCCCAAGCTCCACTTGAGCACTAAATTTAAGGCCATCATTTGTATACACATGCATTTTATCATAAGTTGCTCATCATTCTGTCTTTCTTTGTGTACACAAGGAGACAGAATGATATAAACACATTTATATAATTAGTACAAACACACTGCAGACTAAAAATGATCATACGTAGTTCAATCGACTGTCTGACGCAATCCTAGCAGTTCTAATTATGAGCTTCACATAAGCAATACTTATTGAAGGGTTGCTGCTATGCATGGAATTCATTTGTATGGGTGTTCCTGTTGTGCTTGTTGCCTGTAAGTGATAAGTACTGGGATGATGCTGAAATAAGTACATACTGTACCTGTGTTTCTACATTGTTTGTGGTACTGGTAAACACAGTATAGTTAAATACCCCTTTCATCCAGAAGAGGGCAGCATTACATCATGTCACACAGATCGCACTAGGATCGTATTAGACATGAGTTCCTCATGTTTATTTCTGTTTGTTCACCAGCATGCAGTTCAAAGAAGATAAATAAGATGCAGTTATACAAGTTGAATTTTCACTTGCAGAGCAATGCCATGTAGTTGAAGTTCAGGCAGTTCGGTTCATTATTAGAGGAGATTTAGAGAACTAATAGAAACTTGATAACATGTATTACATTAGGCAGAAAACAATAATAAAATGTTTTTATATGCAAAGTAGTGTGACATGTATCTCCTCAACTAGGCTCCCCCATTATGCTAAAGGTATACTCAGTCACTGTCAGTTCATTCTCTTATCTTATTACTTCTATTAATTTTGCCTGGGAATAACATTGGTGAATGTAAGAACGGCATTTCAAGGTGTAAAATCAGTGCAGATTGTGTTCAAGATCCAGCCAATACTGATATTTGACAGGTGTATTTGAAAAAAAAATTTAAATGAACATCAGGAAACAGAGTGGCAGGATGTAGAAATATATCAACAGCAAACTTTACAGCAGTAATCCTATGAGTGATTAAGTGTCCAAGCCAAACCTTTTTAATTTAAGTTTTAATCTAATATTTCAACTGATATAAATTGAGTTGATTCGGGGCGTAATGTGTTACTTTGCAGGATTGTTTAATGTAAAATACAGGGGAGACGTTGTTACTGAGGCCTGCTGTTAGTAGTCCTGATGTACGTCTATTAAGAATGTCAGATGATGCCCCCTATACTATGCTGTCAAGCCATTTAATGTACATAAGTCAGACTAGATCAGAATTTAGCACTACTACAGGCCATTCATTTTCACTACACTGCCTGAATCAAGGGAGGCCCTCTAATTTTAGGTCAAATTAAGGTGACATATTTGTATTTATACACATCATTACTCTTAACTGTTGCAGATGTAATTTGGCCAAATATAAAATGCACATGCACATCCCCTGCCAGTACTGACCATAATCAGCCCTTCTTTTCTCCAGGCTTTTCACTTCCCAGCCCTGGCCAGACGGCTGGGTAATACGAGCCATCTCAGATTAAGTTAATTAGTTATACCAAAGAGTTCCACACAGCCAAAACAACCAAGTCAGACAGCGGTGGACCACAACCAGGAAAGCAGTGGCTAGCATAAATATTTAAAGACAAAGAAACAGCACAAAACATTTTGGCCTATTTCTTTTTCAACATCTGCAATATTAATGACTGCAAGTTAACCAGAGTAGGCCCGATTTAAGAGCTTGCTAAAGAAAAGAAAGAGGATGGTGGCCTTCATTTATCAGCCAGTACAGGTCCTTTGATAATTAAAAAGTGGCATTTGATTTGCTCATTAATAATTTTAAATGCCTGTCTATACAGATAACAAGAAAGGAAAAGAACAGAGGAGAGTGTTTGCTGAGGACAATGTTACTGGATACAGAAATCAAGACCAGAAGACCATTTCCAATTAGACAACGGGTAAAGATGAAGTGATTGCATGTCAGTCAGAAAGTAGGCAGAAGAGAAAATAGGAAGATTGGGGTTGTTCTAGATATATGATCCCAGGAGTGTCAGTGACCCAATACTTACTTGAAGTAACAGAGAGAACTAAGAGAGAGAAGAGAGAAAGGCACTGGAAGCAGGGAAAGTTGTTCATTTCCGTCAAGCACCTGAACAGTTAAAGACACCTTGTTCCACTGAGCTCAGTCTCTCACACAAACACATTAACAAAACCTTTTCTCTTTGTGGCCAGGGAACCAGAGCTGCGGAGAGTGATTGGGTAACCGCCCGCATGTTTGAATCAATAGCCTTCAATTTCTGCAGCCTCTGTAAGAAAAGGACCTCTAATAATAGGAAAAGGACAGCATCTCCTTGTACACGCTCAACAAGGTTTAAAATCCACAACCAGGAGGCCAGTAATAAGAAATTCAATAGAGTGCCTGCATTGCATTGCCAAAATACCAATCTGATGCAGGGAAAGAGGTTCAGAATTAAACAAAAATTTTAATTGTGTTTCAAGATAAGACAGTGATAGCAGGTATCACTGTATGTGTCAATGACTGAGTAGCCTTTGACACCACTGAAGTCATGTGAGCAATGTTCCATGTGGTAATCTCAAATCTTTGTCAGTGCAATACTGTTGGTATGCCTTGCATTGAATACGCACCTGACCAGAGTTTGAAGTGAGGGTTTTTGAAGAGGAAGTGTTCCATCTCGTCTTTGTTCTTGTCTAATGCTCCTATTCACAAGAGCCTTAACATAGAATATGTTACACAATAGGGGATAAGTTTCAATGGCAACATTAAATAAGCATCTGAGAACAAAAATCTTTGCTGATAGTCCAGCTGTGCGTGTTATCTGCTGTGATGGCTGGTACAACATTTTAAACGACAGACAACACAATCACTCGTAGATGTGTGTTTGACGTTTTTATCACCATTTAAGAAGGAAGTCATTTCAACAGTGTCTAAAAGAGGAAAGTGAGGTTGTGCTGCTTTTAGAGATAACCCACACGTTAGCCAAATGTCTGTCTAAAAGACTGGTCTGGTTTACCTCATGGCCATTTCAATGAAGACACTTGTTCAACTTCTCCTTGTCTACAAACAGTTCTCAGCCTTGAAATGTGAAAAAAGGTCTGTAGGAAAGAAGTGGGCATGAGCAAAACAAGCAGGAGAGAGAATGACAAAGAAATGAGGACAGATAGTGAAAGGCAGTTTTAGTCTGTGGCACGTCTCTTGATGAAAGGACCATTTCTCTCCTTTTTTAGGGATTGTTTTTCATCCCTCCCTCCCTCCCTCCCTCCCTCTGCCTGTTCCTCTCATTACTCACTCTGATGTTTGCCCTGGCACTGCTGTGATGGCAGAAATGGCCATCACAACAGGAACAGGCTGGGTCAGTCCCCTGCCCGCATAAAAGTCTAATTCACACAGAAAAGCCAGTAGTTTCATACAGTATGCTGTGTCATGTTATACAACTACTGTTTTCACAGTTACACACAAAGTCAATTCCATCTGGAATTTTTACAGCAGACAACGATGCTTCTAATTAAAAGTTTAAAGCTGCAGGGGGGTCATTTTGTTCTCCTGCAACCCCGGGTGTCAGGGAGAAATGAACCTGATTATCATCACATAGCTCGCGCAGACGGGAAACTATGCACGCGACTGTCTTACATTTATTCCTTCAGGGTGGAGATGCTGAGAAAACCTTCTTTGCTTCCTCATGTTGAGGAGAAAATCTTGCTTCCCCAATCTGATGCTGAACCACAGTGTTGGGCGGAACTAAACACAGGAAGGGCTCACTCAAGTGCAAATCCACTGGATCAGTTGGTAAATCCAGAGGCACATATATTTCATGGGAGGGGTGACTTATCACAAGTCTGTGATGGTTTTATTGGGTGGAATTTGTATTTACAACCAGTGGTGCAGCATGAAGTCATTGGTGAAGATTTCCAGGAAGTGAAAGTAATAGAAAAAAATATGTTTTCCTGTCATTGGACCTGAAGTTTTTAATGCTTTGAATTAGTGGGGATGTAACACTACTCTTTCCCACAGCCACAAGTTATAGTTGAGTGATCTTGAAATTATAAATTGGAAATATATGATTGACTACAAATTTTGTGTATCAGTTGCAACAGCTCTGTGAGTGGCGGACAGGTTTTTTTTTTCTGGTAAAATCTATTGTCCTTGAGTTGTTGTCCCATGCTCCAAATGTTTGTGGTGGTAATGACGTGATGAGCTACTCTGTCGTCGTACTCAGTAAATCTTCATCAGGTTTCAACTCTGTCACCTATTCTATTGGTCAACATTTTACTCTTTTTGGAGCTATAAATAGCCCTTTAGAAGATGAGTAAGGCTGTCTAAATTTACCGGTCCATTCTCTCTTATAGTCATACAGTTTTGGTGGGTGGGGGCTGCCTGATGACTCAGCACCACGTGGATCTCTCTGCTTTGTGTAGGAGAGGAGGAGTGTTAATGTGGAGGTGTTGTGGGCAGGGCCAGTATGGAAATGCATGGCTGTTCGGATCAGCCCACAAACTGTGTGTGTGCAACCAGACTGTATCCGAGAATACATACTGCATTGATTTTCTGGTTTGCTGGTCCCCCTACCAAATTCAGATATTTAACAAGAAGGAAAAACTGTTGTGGGACAATCTTCAGAGCTTCACAAACACCTCCTTGCTTTTAGACACTGAACATACCAGTCTGATAGGAAAGATACAGCTTCAAGTGGAAAATATCAAGTTTCCATGTTGTCGGTCCAGTCCTGCCAGTGTATGAAATAGAAATAATTAAGTAAATACAGAGCATTTAAAAATAGTCCTCTATTTTGTTTGCAGTGTATGTTAAAAAATACAAATAAAAGTCCTGCATTGAAAATGTGACTTAAGTAAAAGTGTGTTAGTATAGTCGGAAAATTATTAAAAGGATAAGGATTTTTTTTAAATTCTGGAAATAGTGATAAGCGCCATGATAATTACCCAGAGCCCAGAGAGACACAGTACTTGTTTTGTACAACCAGCAGTCTCCTCAATCCTCAAAATGATGAGAAAATTGAAATAATTAAAAGGAAAAGCAGCAAATCCTCACATTTGTGA